AGCATGACATTTCCAAAGCTGCGCGTTCCTTAGGGCATGCGGCGTTAACAGGTCTGCTGCTCAGATGCAGCTGCTTCGATACCGTGAGCGACCTTTGCTCCCACAGCTGTTTTTGGTTGCCGAGGTGCTATATGAAAACCCGAGCGTGGCTAAAGAGAAAGTCATGATCTGAAAATTACCGCATCGTTCCTTGAAATAGGGACCCTCAGAAGTTCTGAATTGGAGCTCCCTGGTTTTCTGCTTGCTGAGGGTTTGAAATGAAGCAAGTTCTTCTATGCTAAAACTTAGTGGGGTTATGTCTAAGCATTCTGTAAATCTGCTGAAAGTAGATCTCATTTTTCATCTTTTTTTTTTGGTTTTTTTTTTTTGTTTTTTTTTGTTTGTTTGTTTGTTTGGTTTTTTTTGTTTTGTGGGGTGTCTGTGTCAATGTTTTCCTTTTTGCAGGAGATCACGATGGCCCTAAGGATGTTTAGAACACGTTTGCTGTTCTGCTTTCTGGCTGCATTCCTCATCTCTGCCCTAGCTGAAGAACATGTAGGAGAGAGTCAACATGCAAATATTCGCCTCGATAAGAATTTGGTACAAGATAAAGAGTATGTGTTCCATGTTCTGAAAACGTAAACTTCTTAATGATTTTCTTATCTCTTAAGTCTTGTTACGTGAGTTGGACTTAAGCCTAGGGCATCCTGTTTTCTCAGAATGTTGTATGACTAGCTAAAGCCAGATATGAGACGTGCTTACTTGATAAATTTGTAGAGATATGAGACCTAGAAAGGTCTCTCTGGAGCCTTTAGCCATACTCATAAAGAATTTCTTACAGAAATCCTACTTACCCAGATCAACATACATCAGACAAAACCATATTCTGAACAAGTGAAGTTAGGGGTTTTTTTCTGATTTGCTTCTCCATACATGCAGAGCAGTGGTAGCAGCAGATCAAACTCCCTCGAACACTTCATGGTTGACTGGGAAAGATCTTCCTCCAGCTCCTATGCTTTGGAAGTCAGCCAAAAGGAGATCTTGGGCACTGCTTGAGTTGTTTTGATAGCCTGCTAAGTAGGCCAGAAGAAACAGGAATAGCTTTCTAAGGTATTAGAGGCCACTACAGCACCTGTAATGACCAACATTTGTGCCCCCTTCATCTTGGTATCAAACTGTAGCTTTGAGTTGCCCAATGTGCTTTTAGAGTTACTATATTTCCTGTGTACTTGACTAATCAAAGACCAATTGGGATGTAAATAGAGAATTAAACATTAACTGATGGAAATGTGGTTTTTGTCTTTGGGTTGGTTTTTTTTTAACTTTTCTTAGGCACATCATGGAACACTTGGAAGGTGTTATTGAGAAACCAGAATCTGAGATGTCTCCACAAGAATTGCAACTCCATTACTTCAAAATGCATGATTATGATGGCAATAATTTGTTAGATGGGTTAGAGCTTGCTACTGCTATATCACATGTTCACAAAGAGGTAGGTGTAATTTTGTTACGGTATCTGTGTTTGGAAACAGTTCTGGTTCTGACAAGAGCTTCCAACAGAAGGGAACAATTGCAACACATCCTCAGTGCAGTTACAGTTTTGCCTGAAAATGAGATCCCCCTCCCCCCTGTAGTTCTGGTTGGATTTCTAAATGTAATAGCTTTACCACAGCTTTTTTGTGTCACATTGCAGTTTTCAAGACATCTCCACTGTCGTTTAAACTTTGACAGTAACTTCCTGATTGATGTTACAGAGGGCTTGCAGGCATAGGGAGAAAGCGAAATTAACCAAAACGGAGCACGAGGGTGTAACTAAAAGATGGATAATATAATAAATAAAAAGAATATGTGACATGACACTGTTTTAACTTCAGACTGTTACTGCTGTGGATACACAAACTGTAAGAGCCCTCTTGCACACAACTAGTGTTAGAAGAACAAGCTGTGGTCTGCCTCTTTCTAAACACAAATTCTCTTTATAGCTAGGAACATTTAAGGACCAATCAGGAAGTTACTGTCACTAGGAAGGTGATATGAACACAGTATCTCATGCTGATGTTTTGGAAGTTACAATTCAGAGTAGCATAATTTCCTGTGTACAACTGTGGTAAAAATTACTGAGACAGGAACAAGAATAATGACTGGGTGTTTCTTGTGCAAAGGCACCTCTTTGTGTTCCCATTTGCTCCTAAGGGGTGTTACTAAGAATTTTACTGACTTTAAGCTGCTACAGTGCTGGATTTTTTTCACTACTCTTTTACTGTAAGATGTTTCTGTAATGTATAGAAACTATAGTGTCTATACTACCTCAAGATGCAAATTAAGAATACATCTGTTAGATGATTATCCATTATTACACATTGTGCTACTCAGGTTTTGGAACCTTTGACTAAGAATATTAACTGCAAGCAGAGTGCTTGTCCCAAAGTCCAGAGACCTTGGACTTGGTAAAAATTGCTTATATTGTTATCAATGATTGCATAAAACGTAGTGCCAAATTAGGCACCAAATGTGACAGCATAATAAAGAATTATTTG